AGCTCACTGAAGAAAATTTTTCCCTAAAAATTAGAATGGAGCAAATGGAAGCTAATGACTTTGTGAGAAATCAAAACACAATAAAACAAAACCAAAAGAATAAAAAAAAATAGAAGACAATGTGAAAAATCTCATTGGAAAAGCAATTGACCTGGAAAATAGATCCAGCAGACAGAATTTTAAAATTATTGGGCTACCTGAAAGCCATGATCAAAAAAGAGCTTAGACATGATCTTTCAAGAAATTATCAAGGAAAATTGCCCTGATATTCTAGAACCAGAGGATAAAATAGAAATTGAAAGAATCCACCAATTACTTCCTGAAAGAGATCCCAAAATGAAAACTGCCAGGAATATTATAGCCAAATTCCAGAGTTCCCAGGTCAAGGAGAAAATATTCTAAGAAGCTAGACAGAAACAATTTAAATGTCATGAAGACACAGTCAGATAACACAAGATTTAGCAGCTTCTATATTAAAGTATCAGAGGGCTTGAAAGATGATATTTCAGAGGGCAAAGGAGTTAGAATTACAACCAAGAATCACCTATCCAGAAAAACTGAGTATAATCTTCCAAGTGTAAAAATGGATATTTAATGAGATAGAAGACTTTCAAGCATTGTTTTTAGATTCATTAATTTATTTTCAGTTTTCAACATTCACTTCCACAGGATTTTGAGTTCCAAATTTTCTTCCCATCTCGTCCTTCCCCCAACCCCCAAGACAGCATGCATTCTGAATACCCTTTCACCTAATCTGCTCTCCCTTCTATCCCCCCCTTCTCCTATCTCCTTCCTCTTCTATTTTCCTGTAGGGCAGGATAGATTTCTATACGCCATTGCCTATATATCTTATTTCCCAATTGCATGTGAAAACAATTTTTTTAACATTTGTTTTTAAAACTTTGGGTTCTGAATTTTCTCTCTTCTTCCCTCTCCACCCACCTTCATTGAGAAGGCAAGCAACTCAATACAGGTTATACTTGCATAATCATGCAAAACACTTCCATAGTAGTCATGCTGTGGAAAACTAACTATATTTCCCTTCATCCTATCTCACCCCCTGCCCTCATTTATTCTATTCTCTCTTTTTACCCTGTCCCTACTTAGAAGTGTTTGCTTCTGATTACCCACTCCTCCAATCTGCCCTCTCCTCTATCATTCCCCCGTTCTCTTGTTCCCTTCCCCCCTATTTTCCTGTAGGGTAAGATAGATTTCCATACCCAATGGAGTGTGTATATTATTCCCTACTTAAGCCAAATCCAATAAGAATAAGATTCACTCATTCCCTCTCACCTTCCCCCTTTTCCACTCCACCGTAAAAGCCTCTTCTTGTCTGTTTTATGTGAGATAATTTACCCCATTCTACCTCTCCTTTTCTCTTTCTCCCAGTATATTCCTCTCTCATCTTTTAATTTTATTCTCCAGATATGACCCCTTAATCTTCAACTCACCATGTGCCCTCTATCTATCAATCTATACATATAATTTTTTTCCCCTCCAACTACCCTAATATTGACAAAGGTCTCATGAGTTACAAATATCATCTTTCCATGTAGGAATGTAAACAGTTCAACCTTAATAAGTTCCTTATGATTTCTCTTCCCTGTTTACCTCTTCATGCTTTTCTTGAGTCTTGTATTTGAAAGTCAAATTTTCTATTTAGCTCTGGTCTTTTCATCAAGAATGCTTGAAAGTCCTCTACTTCACTGAATATCCATTTTTTCCCCCTGAAGGATTATACTGAGTTTTGCTGGGTGGGTGATTCTTGGTTGTAATCCTATCTCCTTTGCCCTCCAGAATATCATATTCCATGCCCTGTGATTCCTTAGTATAGAAGCTGCTAAATCCTGTGTTATCCTGATTGTGTCTCCACAATACTTGAATTGTTTCTTTCTGGCTGGTTGCAATATTTTCTCCTTTACCTGGGAACTTGGAATTTGGCTACAATATTCCTAGGAGTTCAAACATTCTTGATGAAAATACCAGAGCTGAGTAGAAAATTTGACTTTCAAATGTAAAGCTTAAGAGAAGCATAAAAGGATATAAGGAAAGGGAAATCATAATGCACTTAATAAGGTTAAACTGTTTACATTCCTACGTGAGAAGATGATATTTGTAACTCATTAGACCTTTCCCATTATTAGGGTAGTTGCAAGGATTATATATAGACAGAGGGCACAGGTGTGAGTTGAATATGAGGGAATGATATCTAAAAAAGTTAAACTAAGGAGTAAGAGAGGAATGCACAGGGAAAAAGAGAAAGGGAGAGGTAGAATGGAGTAAATTATCTCACATAAAAGAGGCAAGAAAAAGCTTTTACAGTGGAAGGAAAGAGGAGGAATGAGTAAACCTTACTCTCATCAGAATTGGCTCAGAGAGAGAATAACATACACACACAATTGGGTATAGAAATCTATCTTACTTACCCTACAGGAAAGTAGGAGGGGAAGGGGATAAGAGAAGGAGGAGGGTGGTGAAAGAAGGGAGAGCAGATTGGGGGAGGGGTAGTCAGAAATAAAACAGTTTTGAGTAGATACAGGGTGAAAGGAGAGAGAGAATAGAATAAATGAGGGAGGGGGAATAGGATAGAGGAAAACAGTTAGCAATAGTAACTGTGAAAAAAAATTTTTGAAGCAAGTTTCTCTGATAAAGGCCTCATTTCTCAAACATATAGAGAATTGAGTCAAATTTATAAAAATAAGATCCATTCCCCAATTGATGATTGACCAAATGATATGATCAGTTTTCAGATGAAGTAATCAAAGCTATGTACAGCCATATGAAAAAATACTCTCACTATTGATTGGAGAAATGCAAATTAAAATAATTCCGAGGCTTTACCTCATATCTATTAAACTGGCTAATAGGACAGAAAAGCTAAATGATAAATGTTGGAGGGGATGTGGGGGAAAATGAGACATTAATGCACTGTTGGTGGCATTGTGAACTGATTCAACCATTCTGTAGAGCAATTTGGAACTATGCCCAAAGGGCTATAAAACCATGCATACCCTTTGACCTAGCAATACCATTACTAGGTCTGTATCTCAAAAGAGATAAAAAACAAAAAGGGAAAGGAATTATACACTCAAAAATATTTGTAGCAGCTCTTTTCTGGAGGTAAAGAATTAGAAGCTGAGGGGAATGCTCATCAGTTGGTGAACGGCTAAACAAATTGTGGTATGTGATTATGATGAAATACTGTTATACTATAAGAAATGATGAGCAGGATGCTCTCAGAAAAACCTGGAAAGACTTGCATGGGCTGATGCAAAGTGAAATGTACTGTGTACAAAGTAATAGCAATATTGTAAGATGATCGGTTAAGAATGACTTAGCTATTCTCAGCAATACAACATTAGAAGACAGCTCTGAAGGACTTATGATGAAGGAGGCTATCCATCCCCAGACAAAGAACTAATGGTGTCTGAGAACACATTGAAGCATGCTTTTTTACTATTTTATTTTTCCTCAGGTTTTTTTTGTCTGTTTTCTTTCACAACATGACTCTTATTTTGCATGACTACACATGTATAACCTATATTGAATTTCTTGCCTTCTCAATAAGGGGGAGGGAGGAAGGCAGAGAATTTGAAACTAAAAGTTTTAAAAAAGGAATGTTAAAAATTGTTTTTACATGTAACTAGGAAACATAAAATACTAAATAAGAATTTTTTTTAAAAAAGAAAACCCTAAATGGGGTCATGAAAAGTCTGAAATGACTGAACAACAACAAAAGCACTTTACATACATTATCTCATGTGAGTCTCACAACACCCCTGTGTGGCACTATACATATTAATTGTACCCATTTTTTAGACAAGGAAACTTGCCCATGGTTACAAGATTATTAAGTGTCATAATCTGAATTGGAACTCAAGTGTCCTCATTCCAGGTATAACACTTTATCCACCATACCATTTGCCTCTGTAGATATACAGATATCCCTAGACATTCATGACGATTAGGGAGCCATACCCCTGAAAATGTAAAAAAACCAGGATAACTGTAGGCCTCACTCCAAACCTTTATTTTTAATAATTCTGATCATATTTATTTAACACTCAAAATAAGTAAAACAACACACTGAATCCATAAAAAAAGTTGCGATTTCCACCTGAGAGGTCAGTATCTCACACACCATGAAGTCTTCCCAGCCACTGGTGTAGCTGTAGCAAGTGTTTCACAGATTTTCCTCTAAGAAAAGAGTAAGATACAACAATCACTGGTAGAGAAAATCATGTGACTGAGTCTGGATAGCAGAGACAAGTGTGCAACCCATAGTTGTTGTGTTTTTTATTTGTTTGTTTGAGCACACTGAAACTTTTAACAAAACTTAACTTTTTTTTTTTTTGGCTAGGCAATGGGGTTAAGTGACTTTCCCAGGGTCACACAGCTAGTAAGTGTCAAGTGTCTGAGGCTGGATTTGAACTCAGGTCCTTCTGACTCCAGGGCCAGTGCTGTATCCACTGTGCCACCTAGCTGCCCCAAAATTTAGCTATTTATGATATATTTATGTATGTATATTTATGGTAGTAAATGACAGAATAGATTAATAATATGTAGTATTTATGCATTTATGACACTATCGTTTGCTTTCTTTATGTACACCTATCATCTGTAATTTTCAGTAGTACGCTGCAAATTTCCCAAAATTCCCATTTAATTATCAGTGGCTAACCCTGAATACCCAAAACTGCAAATGTAAAAACCATGAATGTCAAGAGATGACTAATTATAGTTTGAGGTAGTAGAAAGGTGGAGAGAAGACATTTTTTCCTATAATGGGGAAACCTAAGCATATTCATTGGGGATAGGTATTAGAGTCTCCGCAAAAGAATCTTAGAGTTACTACAATAAATATTATTGTAATGGGAGACTGGGTTTGGACAATGAGAGCTCAGTGCTTGTATGCCCTGCTGATTCAGTCCCCATGTGGACTGTAGAGCATGCGCAGGTATTGTTTCTGACCTGCTTACCATGTGAAAAAGAGGAACTTTTCAGTTGGCAGCAGATTCAGAACTGAGAATGTTTACAAAAGGCACTAATCAGAGATGACCCAGTCTTTACTCTCTGGCTATGTCGGAATGAGGAGGCAGTACCTTCTATAAGGCTGGAGGTAGGGAGAGACGACTTGAGCCTTAATTAATCTCTTTACCTGGACCCCCACAAGCCTGTGAGTATGTGTGTTTCTGGCTTTTGCCTTTTTGTTCTTTCCTGTTTCGAGGTGAAGGAGACTCAGACTAGTCTGTGACCTTAAAAGCTTCAAAGGTGGAGAGATCAAGAATAAGTCAGCAGAGGTGCAGGAGCTGGTGTCCATGGCAGATTTTTTAGACAGTCAAGCTCAGTGAGGATTCAAGTCCCACATGACTGCTGTCATGTTGTTGTCATTGTTCCGTTGTGACTTGGCCTTTTTAATCTCAATTTCCTCATGTATAAAATGGGAATGAAAATACTTGCAGTATGTATCAACTTGCATCTTTATGAGGATCATGGGATTATAGATTTAGACCTGGAAGGAACTTATGACAGAACAAATGAATGAATGAATGGCAGGGGGGGATAGGGAAGAGTGAGACATTTATTAAGAATTTTCTATGTAGGGGCAGCTAGGTGGCGCAGTGGATAAAGCACCAGCCCTGGATTCAGGAGGACCCGAGTTCAAATCCAGCCTCAGACACATAACACTTACTAGGTGGGTGACCCTGGGCAAGTCACAACTCCATTGCCTAGCCAAAAAAAAAAAAAGGAATTTTCTATGTGCCAAGTACTGTGCTAATTTTTGCAGATACAAATAGAAAAGTGAGACAGTCCCTGCTCTCAAGGGGTTCATATGCTAATGAGGGAGACAATTCATGTGTGAGGTTTCAGCTGCAAGGCAGATGGAAAAAGCCCAGTGGTCCTTAGTTTCAGCAACAAGGCAGATGGCAATACATCTTCTTTAGTGTCATCTCCATTGATAAAACCATATGTGTTTCTGACGTTTAACCACTTACCAATGCCAAGAACATTCTTTCCTGGGCTTCACTAGCTGTGGCTGCTGAGGAGGTGGGACCTGTAGCACCTGCAATGTCAATTTCCATGTCAGGTTTCTTCAGGGTTTGTTCTTCTCCCAGGTGGCTGAAGGTGGGGGGTGTCCTGAGGGAAGATGCTATTCCCAAGATTCTTGGACACTAGGTCCTAGGTTACCTCCACTGAGATCTAAGGGTCATCTAGGCATACATTAAGATTTTTATAACTGAAAGGGATTTAGTTCAACACTCTCATTTTACAGATGAGGAAACCAAAGCTCAAAGAGGCTAAATTGATTTACCAAAATTAAACAGGTTGAAGTGGCAATCTGTTCCTATCTTTGGACCACTTATCTATTTGGGAATGGCTTTTGATCCTATGTATTTAGATTTTGTGTATACATCTTGGATATCTTACCCTTTTTTTCCTATTCTGCCACTTCCCTTCTTATAATAGAGGCATCCATTTTGCTTGTGCAGAAGCTTTTCAATGTCATGTGCTCAAAATTATAGATTTTGTTTTCTGTCATTGCCTTTATCCCGCATCAGGTAAGGAATGCATCTCCTACTCATAGCTATGAAAGGTATATGATATGCTTGTCATCTAATTTTTTATGGGATAAGCCTTAATATTCAGATCGTGAATCCATTTTTAATTTATTGTGGAAGTGGTCTAAGATATTGTTCTATGCATATTTTTTGCTAGAATGATTTCCAGTTTTCCCAACAGTTCTTATCAAATTCCTCTATGCTGTTTGAACTAGAAGCAAGTACTTAAGATGAACTTTAAAGAATTGGTAACAATTCACTAGGTCTGCATCCCAAAGAGACCAAAGAAAAAGAAAAAAGATCTATATGTATAAAAATATTTTTGGTTGTTCTTTTTTTGGTGACAAAGAATTGGAAGGTAAGAGGATGCTCATCTATTGGAGAGTGGTCAAATAAGTTGTGATATATGGTTGTAATGTAATACAATTGTGTTGTAAGAAATGATGAAGGTGATGGTTTCGGATAAACCTGGGAAGACTTATATGAACTGATGCAAAGTGAAGAGAAAACTAGGAAAACTTTGTACATAGTAACTATTGTAATGATAATTAACTGAGAAAGACTTAGCTATTCTAATCAATACAATGATCCAAGACAATTCCAAAGGACTTATGATGAAAAAGCTATTCACCTCCAGAGAGAAGTGATACATTCTGAGGGCAAATAGAGGCTTTTTTTTTTTCACTTTCAAGGTGAGAAAAAAAAATTGATAGCTATTTAACAAGTTGGTTGAGAAGAGATGATGGCCAAGTCATTTGCAAAATCACAGAATGTCAGAAACAGAAGGGACCTTAGAGATTATCTCATCTAATTCACTCATTTTTTTGTAGACCCAGAGATGTGAAGTAGATTGCAGAATGTGACACAACTAGTAAAAAATTTCAGGACTGGGATTAGATCCTAGATCTCCAAATTCCAAGTCTCACCTTGGAAAAGAGTGTGAACAGATTTGGCAGGCAGGAAAGTGCTGTTACTAAAGGAATTAACCCTTTCAGGGGTGTATTTAAATCTCCAAAGAAAAGTTTAAATATAACTAGCCCAGGTAAAGCTACAGTAGGCAAAAGGTGTAATAAAGACATATCTGGACAAAAGGATCTCTAATTTCCTTTTATACTCTGGACAGTTGCCACTCCCAGCCTCTGAGAGTGTAAAATATGTGGAATGAGCATTGATAATTTTCTCTTCTCCATTTCAACAAGTTTATTATACATCCACCATGTAAAGTGTTAGGCACTGGGTGGGATTGGGGTGAGGGCAGATGTAAGGAAAGAAGAAAAGACATAGGCATTTACTAAGTGCCTACTGTGTGCCAGATATATTCTAAGTGCTTTGCAAATTTCATTTGATCCTCACAACAATCCTGGGAAGTAGGTGCTATTATTATCCCCTTTTTACATTTGAGCAAATCAAGGCAAACACAGATAAAAAGTGAAACTCTTACAGAGTTTATTTAATTATCCTCTCGCCTTCATAGAATTTATAGTTCATAGGATCATAGATTTTGAACTGGAAATCAACCAATCAATCAATAAGCATTTAAGTGCCTACTATGTGCCAAGCAGTGGGTTAGGGGCTAAGAATATAAATACAAGGAATCAAACAGTCTCTATTCTCAAGGAGTTCAGGTCATTTAGTCCAACCCCCTTACTTTACAGATGAGGAAACTGAGGCCAGAGAGATTAAGTGATTTGTCCAATATCATGCAGTTTGTAAGTGTTAGGGCTAGGATTTCAATCCGGGGGTTCTGACTCCAAATCCAACACCCTTTCCATCCCACCACCCATTTTTACAGTTCACAGGACCATAAGATTTAAATCTAAATGTGATCTTGGTCATCTACATGCCACAGCACACAATAAGCAGCCCAACACTCACCCACTTGTCACCATTACAAGTTGCTCTGTATCCTGTGGAGTCATTACTAGAGAGGATTGTGGGCTAGCACCACACGAATTCAAAACCTGGAGGGAGAATCCATAAACCCGAAATTGACACTAGTATGTGGAAAGGCTAAGAGCTTGGCTTCTCAGCAACCCAGAGCCCTCCATTCTCTAGCTATCCTGAATAAATCAGAGGGTATCACACACATTTCTTTCCATAGGATGATGGAGATCTGATTCCCAAAGAAGAGAGCAGGAAGTGCACTGAAAATCACTTATAAAGTGTTATGTATTTCCTAATCTTTTTTATTCACTGAGCCAAGGGATTCCCAGAACTACTTCCTGGTCCCTTCTCATTGAGAAACTGGGGCTGTGGAAGATGCTGGCACTGAAGGATGCTGAGAGGAAGTGAGTTCATTGCTTCTGAAAGTCATTCGGAAGCTGGAGGCATTTTGCCAGCATTAGGCTAGTCCCAGAGCCTTCTGAGTACATTTCTTTAGCAAGCTGAAGTTGGCATTTAAGGCAGCTGTAGGATGAGTGTACATTCCAAGTGCCTCAGGGACAGTTGCAAAAGAGCTCTCCCTGGGGCACCATCCCTAGCAGTCTCCATTGTGGCTGGAGAAGTTCTTCTTGGGACCCCAAGAGTGTCTAAACTGTTTGGGCAAGAACTTCACCAACAGCCAAGGGGAAATAGCAATGACAGGAATTTACTGGGCAGGAAAGGGGCAGGTACCTCTGGCCAGAGGCTACATTTCATCCTGGCCAACAAAACAGGTTTGTGTTTTGTTTGCTCTGATTTTTTTCCCCCACTAAGCTTTTGTTTTTGAAATATATTCCCTGATGGAATGGAAGGGTTGTTTCATTTTTGTCTTTATAGCCCCAGTGCCTGGCACATTGGTATTTTTTGAATGAATGAGCAAATGAATTAATGAATAAAGATAAAAATAAAGCAGTCCATGCCCAAAAGAATTCATCTTCTATTGGTAGGAAACAACATGTAGATATGAAAATAAATAATCTCAAAAGTAAAATGGCAACGGGTGGGCTAGGATGAGAAGTACAAACAACTGGGGTGATTAGGAAATATCTGGTATAAGAGATGGCACCTAAGTTGAGCCTCAAAAGAAGTAAGGAGGTTAGGAGGGATAGTATTCCAGGCAGGAGGGACAGCCTAGGCAAGAGCACTGAGGAAGGAGATGGAATGTCCTATTTCAAGAACAGCAGCAGACCAGTTTGGCTCAATCATAGATTCTATCAGGGTAAAGTAATATGAAATCAGCCTGGAAAAGTGAATTGGAGGGGGCAGCTAGGTGGTGCAGTGGGTAGAGCACCAGCCCTGGAGTCAGGAGGACCTGAGTTCAAATCCAGCCTCAGACACATAACACTCACTAGCTGTGTGATTCTGAGCAAGTCACGTAAACCTATTTGCCCCACATAAAAAAAAATTAATAAATTTTAAAAAAAGAAAGAAAAGTGAACTGGAGCCAGATTTAGACAGGCTTTAATGTCAAACAGAGACATTTATGCTTTAACCTAGAATGCAATAGGGAGTCACTGAAATTTCTTGAGCAGGAGAGTGACATCATTATATATTATACATAATGCATGACAATGACATTGTCAGATATTATATACAATGTATGACAATGTGTGTGTATATGTACATGTATATAGTGTGTATGTGTGTGTGTGTGTGTGTGCGTGTGTGTGTGTGTGTGTGTACACGTTGCAGGAAT